ACCCTCCTTTCGCGCGTCGGGCCTTCCAATAGATCTGCAACCGGAAGGGACCCATCGTAACGCAACCTGCCCCCATGTGTGGAAACTGCATGACTCGAGCTTGCGATATAAGTTGGCTTTCCTCTCGCTCTGCGACTGCAGCCGCGTGGGCATTCCGGATTTCGAGTATGCCTCCTTTGCCCGTTGAGTAGCTCCCACAATCCAATCAACATAGGATTCATGTTCCAGTCGCCGCGCGCCCACAGTTTTCCGAAGCATCTTCCGCATTGCTGCGTTGAGCGTTTGTTCTCGCGCTGCAGTGAGCGCCCATGCACCGCTCCCATACAGCACCGTAGAAGACACGACAGCGTCGAATAGCCTCAATCTGGAATGTAAGAGATAATGCCGATTACACAATTCGGATTTGAACTTTCCGAAAGCAGCCCACCCTCTCGAGATCCTGTGGTTGATTTCCACATCGTGGTATTCACTGAACGTTAACTTCCTCCCTAGGTACTTCATGCTGTCGTTCAACTCTAAGACTCGACTTGCCCGTCTCCGACTTCGACGTCTTTCTGTCGCAACACTCCCCAGCGGCCTGCCTCGTTAGACAGGGTCTTCGTTTTGCCTATGTGTAGCTGCAAACCAGCACTGCGCGCCCTCTCGTTCGAATCGGACAACATTCGTCGCGCCTGCGCCCTGCTGGTTCCAAGCCAGAGAATGTCGTCTGCGAACCTCAAGTTGGTCAAATAATTTGAACCAAGTTTGAGTCCAAGCCTCTCTTGCCGCCATTTGCTTTTGAGGTCCCGCACGATTGTCTCCAGAAATGCGTTGAATATAGCTGATGACGTTGGGTCGCCCTGCTTCGTGCCTCTCTCAAGCTCGAACACGCGGTTATCCCAATCAGATACCACCTGGCCTGTTTGTCCTGCATACAGCCGGCGCAACACTTGTATGTATGTCTCCAGAACCCCTTGCTGGCGCAGAGAATGCCAAATAGCAGAATGGTTCACGGTGTCGAATGCTTTTTCGAAGTAAACGGCAGCGACCCAAAGCTTCAAGTTGTACTCCCTGGCCTTCTCGTGGATGAGCGTAAGGGTTACCAAATGATCATCGCACCCGATGCCCTTACGAAACCCAGCTTGGTCCACAGACTGCTTTGCGTCGAGAAATTTCGCGAGTCGCCCGTTCAGCACCATGGCGAAGAGCTTGTACAATATGGAAAGAATGGAAATTGGACGGTAATTTCCAAGAAGCTTAGGATCCCCTTTCTTGAAGATCACCTTGACGCAGGTGTGTCTCCACGACCCTGGTGGCTCATCTCCGCGTACAAGAATACTCGTGAAAATGTTCGCCAACACTTCTTTGAGATACGGCCCGCCAGCTTTGAACATTTCAGCCACCACGCCAGTCCGATCTGCAGCTTTGCCTTTTTTCAAGTGTCTGACGTGCTCCTTTACTTCTTCAACTGTAGCTGACGGTATATCAGCTGGCACTCCAGTGCAGCCGGCGTCTCGTTCAAGGCTGCTGCTGGTCTCCCTTGACTTGTAGAGCTCCTCGTAGAACGTGCCAAAAACATCGACGATGCCTTGTCTGTCCGAGCACGGGTTCCCCGAGCAGTCAACGACGCTGGTCAGCCGTTGCCTTTTAAAGTTGTTGTGGATATCATGGATGCGGCCGACACTCTTGAAATTCTGCAATATTACATCAATGCGTTCTGCCTTTCGCTCTCGTTCCAATTTTCTTAATTCACGTTGTATCTCTTTGCTGGTAACTTTTGCCGGCATTCGCCCTGCCTCTCCTGCCCGGGAAGACCGTCTTTCAGATTTTCAGACATCAATTGCAAAATGTGAGGTGGGATTGCTTGGCGCGGTTCTTTCTTCGCCGCACCTCCGTCCTGCGTTGCTTGCGCCACACAGTCTTCCAAACTCTCACACATCATCGCAGCTGACGGTGTTGCTCCAGATTCCTCAAAACTCTTGATGCGACAGCACAGGTTCGCATCGACTTTTGCACCATACCCGCTCTGTGGCTGAAAACGTTGCGTTGCTTTGTGTTGTTTTCTCTCCCGCAGCCGCCGGTAAGCCGGCAGCTTCAGCTCCAGGGCATTTGCTCTGTGATCCAGACCAACACCTATGGAATTTACCGCGCCAGAAAAACGCATGAGACCCTTTGCGCGTGGGCACGCACAGAAAGAGTCAATCTGCCGCGTGTTGCCGCAATGGGTGTGGGTCCACGTGTCACTCTCCGGCAAAGCGAAGTAAGCATTTGCAGCTGATAACGTTTCCTCGCAAAGCCATGCCTCCAGAGAGTCTCCTCGGTCGTTCCGGTGACCCATCCCATGCTGGCCGACGAATCTGCTTTCGCACGAACCGCCGCCGTTCCCCAAAACTGCATTCCACGTCCTCTTCTGGATACGTGGAGTCGGGCATGTACACTGAAACCCAATCGAAACAGAAACGTGTCGAAATCAATGTCTACCCAACACAATCTATCGCTGCAGGCTGTGAAAGTTGTTACCGCGTGCGCCCACCGTTTGTGGACAAGAACTGCTACCCCACTCCGACTGTGAGACCCTCCGGATCCCATGAAGATGTGGCCGTCTTCAGTCTCAAATTGTTCCTCAGGGTCCTCCCGCCACGTCTCGTTCAAGAAAACTACGTCCCATTGTCTCAAATTTGACACTTCCACGACTGAACGTCCTCACTGATCAAATGCAGCTGACGATATCCGGTAAAATCTCCCACATCTTCTTGATTGTGGGATGGGCCCGACGTCCTCCCACCACCCGAATTACCGATGGCAACAAAACTGCTTCGGCCACTTATTGATGCTAAAGGAAAGTCGCCATGCACATCTCGATAGATACCTCGTCCGCCTCCTCTGGAGCCTCCCGCGTCCAGCGACACCGCCCGAAGTGCTGATGCAAGTGGCTCAACCATCGTCTCCGCTGGAGACCATGCTGCTCCAAAAGCACACTTCCCGGTAGGCTGGTCATGGGAATTCGTGAACTTCTTGATGCTCAAACCGAAAGTGCGCGGCGCGAAGGCGAGAGCCACATCTTGAAAAGGAACCGCCCTCAATCCGTGAAGCTCTTGCAAATTTGTTTTTTATTTTTTATTTGTTTAATAATAATAGTAAAAATAATAATAATAATAATAGTACTAATAATAATAATAATAATAATAAAAACACGAATGCGCGCGGCGCGAAGGCAGCCACATTTTGATAACGGCCCGCTTTCAAAGCTCTTGCATTTTTCAACGCATGTGCGCGGCGCTAAGGCGAGAGCCACATTTTGAAAACGACCCGCCCTCAATCCGTGAAGCTCTTGCTTTTTTCGTGAACGAATGTGCGCGGCGCTATGGCGAGAGCCACATGTTGAAAAGGAACCGCCCTCAATCCGTGAAACTTTTGCAAAGTTTAAAAACTAATGTGCGCGGTGCTAAGGCGGAAGCCACATTTTGAAAACGACTCGCCTTCAATCCGTGAAATTCTCGCAAATGTTTAAAACGAATGTGCGCGGCGCTAGGGCGAGAGCCACATTTTGAAAACGGCCCGCCCTCAATCCGTGAAATTGTTGTCATGTTTAAAGCTTCAGGGTCATAAGTGGTGAGGAGGTCTCAGGCGAAACGCCCGGCTCGCCCTAAAAACTTGCCTCGGGGTGCGACAGGGAGAAGTCATGCATGAGGATAAGGAACGGGGGAGGAGAAGGTGGATGCGGAATAAGAGGATGCCTCCTGAGGCCCTCCTGGGGCTCTTGGGGGCTCCGGGGTTCTACGAGGCATCGGGGGGGCCTCCTGGGGCCTCTTGGGGACCTCTTGGGGCTCTCCGGGTTTCTCGGGGGCCTCTTGGCCTTCGGAGGGCCCTCCCTGGACAGTCGTTGGTCCCTCTTTGGGCGCTTCAGGGCCGTTTGGGAGGTCTCTGGGGCCGTCTTGGGGGCGTCTTGGGCCGTCTTGGGGCGATCTCGGGGGCCCTATGTCCCCGTCTTGGAAAGTCGGAAGCCCGAAATGGCGAGAACATAATTGAACAACCCGAGGGGGATCAAGGATGTGGGCCTCCAGGAAGTCCTAATGTAGCCCCGGGGCGTCTTAGGGGCCTCTTGGACAATCTTGGGGACATTTTGGGCCGTCTTGGAGTCATCTGGGCCGTATTGGAGGCGTCTCGGGACCGTCTTGGAGGCCATCTTCGGTCATCTCGGCCGTCTTGGAGGCATCCTGGAGGCCATCTTGGCCGTCCTGGAGGCGATGTTACAGATGAGAGGTGGATTTGGGGGAGCTCTTTGGGTGGCCGGCAGGTTGGGCCGAAACCCCAAGGAGAGTTCCCCAGAAAAGAACCAACACGCCCCAAAAATCTGGCACGCCGTGCACCCTTATGGCAAGACCACAAGGGGGCGGCGGATCTAGTAGCTTTGGGCCCGTCCCGCCGCCACGGCTTTGTTGTGGGCCAGAGCCATCTTGAATGCTTCTTGGAGTCTCTGGGGATGCCTCTTGGCGCCCTCCTGGAGGCCTATTGGATTCCTCTCGCAGACTTCTTGCAGGCTCCTTGCAGGCCTCTTGGGGAGTCTTCGGCGACTCTTGGACGCCTCTTGGGGCCTCATGGGGGCCTCATGGAGGCCTGCCTCTTGGGGCCTCTTGAGCGCTGCTGGGGGCCTCGTGGGGGCATGCCGCGAATGCCTGCGGTCGCGAGATCCCAAAGGCCAATTCGCTTTCCCCCCTCGGTTGCCGAAAACATTGAAAGACACCATGCTGATGGGCTTGTTTTCCACCACCACCACCATAAGTTGGAGGGAGGAGGGACGTGGAGGATGAGGAGGAAGACGAAGAGGAAGAAGAGGAGGAGGAGGTGGAGACTTCTGGTGGTGGCGGTGGAAAACAAGCCCACCACATGTGTCAACTTTTGTCGCTCCAGAAATGTCATACGAGAAGCCCCCGAGAGCGCCCAGCAAGAGCCCGAGAGCGCCCAGAATTTCGTGGGCCTGGGCCCCCGAAGTGTTCTCGATACTCCACACAGGGAAGTCGACGGGACCTGAGGACCCTCCGCTCAGTGCCCAACACACGGCGGCGGATCTGGTGATCCAGCGAGGTGTCGCTTGTCGGGCCACGCCCGAAGTCCGTAGCCGTGTTGGCTCGCGCTGGGCGTGCAAGGTCTGCAGAGCTGGCGGCCGCCGCGTCGCTCTCGCGCGGCTTTCCCCCCCACGCCTCCTCTCGTGCTGCTCACAGTGGGGGCGCGCACCAAGAAACCATCGGCTTTTTGTCAAGGCACCCTGGGTGTCCTCGCTCCGCGCGCTGCGTGGGGACTTCCCGCAGCCGTGGAAGAGGCTGCTGCGTTCAGGAGGCTCAGGCTTTCGCCTCGCGCGCGGGTTTTCAGGGTTGGGCTTCTTGCGGAGGCTTCTTGCGGCCGCGCGCCCGCACTGGAACTCCAGCGAAGCGATGCCGCTCGTTGTCTGGGTGCTGGCGCTTCTGCTGCTGCTGCTGCTGCGGCTGGCCTGCTGGGCACGCCGCCGCATCTCCACGGCGCGGCGCCCCCCGCAGCGGCTGTGGCAGGGCCACCCCCTCCCCCTGCGGGCGCTGGCCGTGCTCGGCTCTGGCGGGCACACCACCGAGATGCTTGGCCTGCTGGCAGGGTTCTCGGAGGAGGAACGGGTGCCCATACCGCTGCCCCGCGACCGTTTTCCCCATGTTGGGCCTCCTGGGAGGCCCTCGTCGCCACCGCTGGGTTCGCCTCGCCATCCTGGCCCTAGCGCACCCCAGGAGAGGCCCGGGGAGCAGTGGCATCGATACCCTTTTGTCTCCCCAGGTTCGACCAGGGCAGATACCACTTCCAGTTTGTGCTGGCCGACACCGACACCACGTCACTGAAGAAGGTCGGCGCGGCCCGGCCAGATTTGGTAGAGGACACTTCGCGCTTCCACGCAGTCACCCGGAGCCGCGAGGTGGGACAGTCGTGGAGTTCGTCAGCCGTGTCGACTGCCAGGGCATTCTTGGAGTGCTTGACGATTGTCTGGGCCATCAGGCCCCAGGTATTACTGGTGAACGGCCCCGGCACGTGTGTGCCAGTTGTTGCCGCGGCTCTCTTTTTTGAGCTTGTCTTTGGGCGCCCTGTCGTTCTCATTTTCACAGAAAGCTTCTGCCGCGTGAAGTCGTTGTCGCTGACAGGGCGAATGTTGTACGCGCTAGCTGACGTGTTTGTGGTGCACTGGCCTGCTCTGGTGGAAAGGTACCCGAAGGCCCAGTATTGCGGCGTCCTGATGTGAGAAGCCGCACGACGGTGCTGCTTTGCTTTGGACAAACAGCATAGCGTCGACATCGCCTATCATCGCCTGCGGTTCATTCCAGGCAACAATCACGAACTAACAGCACGTTGTCTTAGTATTGGAGAGGCCTTCCGATCTGTTCCGTCGACTCCGAAAGGGGACCAGGAGGCGCCAGGAAGGCCGCGAGGTAGTCGAGGAGCGCACAAAGGCAGGCCGCTGGTTATCCCAGATTGGCTGGAAGAGCACCTGGACACTGGAGCAGAGTCGGAACACCGTGCCACCTCAAGTGGCCTGCGGCCCATGCCGCCATCGTGCCTGAGCGGTGGTGAGCCAGGGGCCTCTTGGATGCACATCAGGGCTCTTGGGGGCTTCGCAGAGGGCTCTTGGGGGGGCCTCTTGGAGCCTCGCGGGGGCCTCTTGGGGGCCGTCTTGGGGGGGGCCCTGGTGGATTTGCGTGCAGGGAGTCTTGGGGACCTGCTGGCAGTCTCGGAGATAAATCTTGGGGCGGAGGGCTCGAAATGTAGCTCCGTGTTTCCCCTCTTGGCGGCCTCTTGGGGCCCTCTTGGGCCGTCCGTCTTTAGGCCCTCTTCGGGGCCCATTGGGTCAACTTGGAGCCATCTTGGGGGACTCTCGGGCTGGAGCGATGGAAGAACGAAAGGGCGAGAACGCTACACCTTCCAACGCCTTCAGAAAGATCACATGTGTTTGCCTCTTGGGGCCCTCGTGGGTGTCCTCCTGGGGCCCTCTTGGGCCGTCTTGGGCATCTTGGACTTGATAATGTTGCCGAGAGAGGGCCAGGTTGGCCCGAACATCATCCAAAAGGGGAAAAGGGGGCAAGCGCATTCTGATCAGCCTCCCCCTCTCCCGGGCCCCCAGCGGGGAAGAGAGCAAAGGGATGTGGTTCCTTTCGACTGGATGTCGGCATGGTTCTATTCACCTCGGGTTGGCGGGTGTGGAGAGCCAAAGGTGGCCGCCAGAAAGGGAGAAACAACTCTATTCAAAGAGCGTCTTCCACGACCACCCCTGGAAGACAATCCCAGAATTCCCCTTCAGACGCCGACAGGGTCCGCGGATTTAATAAGATGTTGCGACAGGCCTGCCTTTCTTTAAGACCATATTCGCGGTCTGTTGGGAGGCTTTGCGGCTTCCCGAGGGCATAATCAGAGTCGCCGGGCCTGTCTTGTCGACCTCGACATCTTGGGCCTTTTCGCCTATATTGCCTCCTCCTTGCCGCCATCTTGAGCCCCGGGCCATCTTGGGCGAACATCAGGGCATTCCGGGGCCTCTTTGGGCCACCTTGCGGATATCCTGGACAATTAAGGAGGCACGCGTGCCAGGATCATACTATTATCAGGGGTGCTGGGTAACCGGGCATGGCGATGGCGCCAGGCCCTGCTAGCAGTGGAGATGTCTGCCAGTAGCGCGAAGCGTCGGCGAGCATGGGTCGCCAATCAAATGGTACCCGCGCGGACGTGTTAGTATTTCTATGTGTTGCAACAGCCGCGATGGTTTGCACAAGGGGCGTGTTGCTATCGCCTCCAGTGCTTGGGCTGGCCATCATGCGGTAGTTTGTAGCGGGTGCGATCCGTGCGACTTGTTTTGATTCAGCGCGCTCGACACGCCGTAGATGGTGGTCAGTTGGAAGACATACGAGAGAGCGAGACAGGAGGAGGAGGAGGAGGAGGTGCGAAACCGGCTTGGATGTCGTGCTCTGGACCTCTCGCGCGTGTCTTGAAGAGGCCTTCGCAAGCCATATTCACGTGTTGGGCCCGCGAGGCGACCCCCGATCGATACGTGCGATTCCGGATCATTTTTCTCCCCCCCATAACTCTACATGTTTGCAGGAGGTTCGGGGCGGGGGGGTCTGATAGCATCAGCTGGCCGTCGTGGTTCATGTGATGCTGCGTTTACTGTCGTAGCTGTTCATGGTCCACGCGTCCAGAGCGTGGAGCGGCTTCGATAGCGGGCAGCGACGGAGAATCGTCAGCAATTTGTATCCGCTGCAAGGTGTGCGTGCGTGGTCGCATCAGCCCAAGTCGGACTTGCAAGTGCACGAAGGTGTATTTTTCCGCGCTCGACACTGCACCCACGCGAAACGGACTGTGCCAGCATGTAAAAGATGGGTTCGGGTGCTTCTGTTGCAGAGTGTTGTGTCTGCATGTCGTTTCTCTGTTGTTGTAATGCCTTCCCTTTTTTATGTTTGCGATTTCTGGTCATTGAATTGAATCTGGCGGATGAGGTCTGGCGGTTCGGACGTGCGTGGTGCGTTGGTGCAGTTTATTGTAGCGAGTTCGATGCGTTTGCGTCTCGGTGCAGCTTTCGCGGTTCTTGCCGTTGTGCTTGGTGGTTGAAGTCTTCGGCTTGGCTAAAGCCTGTCAGCGCCGCGTGCTTGGTCGCCATGGGATCGCACATGTGCGCATCCTTGCACATCAGGCCGCACTAGCGTTGCGTTTCCTCTCAGAGAGTTGATTGGGATTAATCTTGTACTTGGGGGACCATCTGGCGGTCGTTGCGTCGGCCTTGTACCAACATGCTCATGCATCGCAGCGTTGCCACGCCGACAGTAGAGAGCGACCGCTTCTTGCCAACGTCGCTCAAAACGTCCAGACTTGGCGAGCTGCACAGGTTGGCTGCCCTCGTCTTCCTCCTCATCTCCCCCCACCCCGCAGCTCCAGGCCGCTGGCGCACGTGGCCATGGCAGCCATTGTATCGTTCGCCACGCCAGGGCAATTCGAGCCCGAGATCGCCCTGGCGTCCCCGCGAGACGCTCCGGGTGTCCTCCAAGATGTCCGAACCAACTTGCCCAAAAGCGGAGGAGCAGAGGAGCAGCGCCCAAGCTTCCCCAAAAATGCCGCCCGTGCGGACAGTTTCGGAAACCGCGCCCCTGGGCAAGATTTCGGAGGAGCAACGAGCCATGATAATGACGCGCTGAAGAACTCCAAGATTCTCCATCCCGCCGCGCGGACTGCGGAAGCGAGGGCCAGCAGATGCCCCAGCCTTTCTGGAACGCACCTTGAGCCAACGGGACGTCTGCTGCCCTCCCAGCCGGCGGCCTGGACTTCCCAGCGGACGGCGGACTTCGGGAGGCAACCCAGACGGCATTTCATCGGCGGCGCGCCCGGGGGGGAGGTGGGAAGCAGCAGGCTATCCTCGGGCGATCACCAACATGGATCAACGGGGGCGTGGATCGGCGACGGGTCCCGTTTCCTCCTCCTCCTCCTCTTCCTCCTCCTCCTCCTCCTCCTCCTCCTGCGACCGCGCGCCAAATCCATGGATCGCTAATCCATGTGTGTGCGCCCCCGATGTCTCAGAGGGCGGCGAGGTTTCCCGGAAGCCCTGCGGTCTGCTGGGAAGTTTCCCGTGTCTTCGGGGGAGGCCTGAGAAGTTCTCAGATCGAAGGCCCGAGGTTTTCCGAGCTTTTTGAGAGGGCCTGCCCCTGCACACTTCTCCGGGCGAGCCGCCGAGTTGAGCATGGTTCTTCTGTTTTGTTGCTGACACCTCTCGGTTTCCCCAGATCTCCGACGGTCTGGTTTTTGTTGCATACTGACCTGGCGCGATCGAAACTATCGATTATATCGCAAGGCGAGGCGCAAGTCGAAGCCAGCAGTAAAGGCACGGTACAGCAATGCAAACGCAATGAAATGAAGATTGTTATCCGTAAGGGCTTCGCCCCCTGCCGCCGGCCCCCTCCCTCGGAGAATGGGCCATGGAAGAGCTAAGTCATGAGGTCTTGGCGCTGTCGTGAAGCAGTATCGAAACTTCATGCGAAGCCGATTCGCAATCAGCAAAACCAACTGATCACAAGAGGGGTTACCACACCTGGCGATTGGTAAGACGTGTATGGTTTACGGGCTTGGTTGCCACACCTTGCGATTAAAGGGCCGAGGGAGTTCTCGCAGTTTGGGTTACCACGCCTTGCGATGGATGTGCGTGAAGGGTGGCACCGAATTTCAGAAATGTGGCAAATCCCATGTGTTTTTGGACCCTGACCCCGCGGATCTGCGTAAGGGGTGGCACCGAATTTCAGAAATGTGGCAAATCCCCTGTGTTTTTGGACCCTGACCCCGCGGATCTGCGTGAGGGGTGGCACCGAATTTCAGAAATGTGGCAAATCCCATGTGTTTTTGGACCCTGACCCCGCGGATCTGCGTGAGGGGTGGCACCGAATTTCAGAAATGTGGCAAATCCCTTGTGTTTTTGGACCCTGACCCCGCGGATCTGCGTGAGGGGTGGCACCGAATTTCAGAAATGTGGCAAATCCCATGTGTTTTTGGACCCTGACCCCGCGGATCTGCGTGAGGGGTGGCATCGAATTTCAGAAATGTGGCAAATCCCCTGTGTTTTTGGACCCTGACCCCGCGGATCTGCGTGAGGGGTGGCACCGAATTTCAGAAATGTGGCAAATCCCATGTGTTTTTGGACCCTGACCCCGCGGATCTGCGTGAGGGGTGGCACCGAATTTCAGAAAAGTGGCTAAATCCCATGTGTTTTGGGACCCTGACCCCGCGGATCTGCGTGAGGGGTGGCACCGAATTTCAGAAATGTGGCAAATCCCATGTGTTTTTGGACCCTGACCCCGCGGATCTGCGTGAGGGGAGACGCTAAAAATCCCGTTTGGGCCTCCCCCCCCTCGCGCGGTCAATCAACTAGTCACAGTAACCAGCAATCAGTCAACTAGTTACAGTAACCAGCAAGAAGCAGAACTGTAACACTGGAAACTACAAACTACAACTGGTACAGGAAACTGCGAATCACGCGCCTCGCAGCCTGGTGGCCCCACAAGGGGGCCGGCTGATTTCATGGCCCGCCCTTCGGGTGATCAGAAGGTTTGGGGGGTCCACATTATCTTTGATTTGGATTGAACGCACAGTTCAACTCTCGAGTGCACACGCATCGTGATGTCTATATGGATTTCCATATGCCTGTCTGTCTCTCTGTCTATATGTCCATATTCAAAACATGTTGATATAGTAAAATAAGTGTGTGAACATATGTGGCTTCTCCCCCCACACACACATGCGCATGCTGATATAATGATTGCCGCTTCGCGAATCCCCACCAGCCCATCCAGAAACGATGCCCAGGGGAGTTGAGGTGATCAGGGAAGTGGGGGGTCATGCAGAAGAACAAATGGCGGGGGAAGCCGTCATATACCCCAAGAGGGGGAGGATGGAGGAGGAAGAGGAGGAGGAGGAAGAGGTGGAAGGAGGAGAAGGAGGAGAAGGAGGGAGAGTTGGGTACCTCGGGGATCCTCTTGAGGCCTCGTACGGGGTCTCTTGGAGGTCTTTGGGGCGCCTCTTGGGGTTGTCTGGGCGCCTATCGGGCCCTCCTGGGCCGCTTTGGGGAGCTTCAGGAGCGCTCTTGGGGCCATCTTGGAGGACATCGATCCAAAAAGAGGGGAGCTCCAATTAGCCTCCCCCCTCGGGAGCACCGAACATCGCCTCCTGGACCCATCTTGGAGCGCTCTTGGGGCGCTCTTGGGCGCTCTTGGGGCCGTGATTGTCCTCGGGTTTGTGGAGGATGTTGGCCTCTTGGGGTTCTCCCTGGTGGTCTCGGAGGCCTTCGGGAGCCGTCTTGGAGCGTTCTTGGGGCGTCTTGGAGCATCTTGAAAGCCATCTTGGGGCATCTTGCGCTATTTTGAGCCATCTTGGAGGTCATCTTGGGCTTTCCGAGGCTCTCTTGGAGCCGTTTTGGGCCATCTTGGACGCTCCAACTGCCCGCGACCACCCCCGTCCAGATCCAGGGGGAGGGGCAGGGGGCGGGGTGCACCCCTCCCTCCCCGAAGAGAAAGAAGGGGGCTTGAAGAGAAGCCTCCCTAGACCACCTATACGTACCTGCCAGTCTCAATACCAATCGGCATCACGATGTATGCATTGAAATGAGTAGCAACGCATAATTCAGTCTCACTGTGTATTTCTATATGTGGGAGACCCTTGGGAGAACCATTGGGAGAACCATCGGGACAATGTGTGCACCCGTCTCTGCACTAGTATACCTCTGTTCTATGTGTACAGGTGTGCACATGAATTTGTGCCTACCCCAGATTTCGTAATAAAGGGAGGGGGGTCTCATTTCGGGGGGGGTCTCTTCCAGGCTATCTTGGAGGGCCTGGGGGGGTCTGGGGACGATGTTTTGGAGGGTTCTCCCACAGGGGGGGGTCTGAAATGGCTTGTCTTGGAGGGTCCAGACCCCTTCCCTTTTATTACGAAATCTGGAGTACCCATTCCCCCAACGGTGCTTGCACTTGGGGCTTCCTGTTCCGCTTCTATGGAGCTGGGCCTGTGCGTCGGTCTGGCCGCCCTGCTGCGGCCGTCGCCGCCTCGTCGCCGCCCGGCGTCTGGGCCTGTGCGTCGGTCTGGCGGCTCCGTTGTGGCCGTCGCCGCCTGGTCGCCGCTCTTCGTCGCCGCTAGATTGCACAGCATAGATTTTACGTTGATCGCACCACATAGGTTGCACCGCATGGATTGCTCAACATGCATTCCACCGCACAGATGGCACAACAGTGGTAGCACCGCGCATATGATGCCACATGGGCTGCTCCGCATAGGTTGCGCCACACAGACTGCACAACGCAACATAGATTGCACCACGCATATTGCACAGCATATACTAGGCAACATATAGGGTGCGCCGGTGGCACCCCATATTTTGCACCATCTGGATTGCACCGCATAGATTGCACCACATATGTTGCACAGCTTAGATCGCACCACATCGGTTGCACAACATCGGTTGCACCGCATCTATTGCACCACCACGCATTGCACAACATAGATTGACCCACATCTATGGCACTACACTGGTTGGGGTCCACGCTGGTTGACACAGAAGTACCATACATCAATATCACTGCCTTTCTGACTACTTTTCTTTACCCGTACGTATACACACGTTTGTCTTACGGTTATCATGTTTCGCATGCATTGCCCTATAGTTCTGTGCTTGGAGGGCGCGTTTCTGGTGTTATGGCCTTGCAGAGTGCATTTGTTGCATCATTGCCTCCCAGAAGCATCGGAACAAATATCGGTACAGCCATCAGGACAA